TAATGGGGTTTCCACGTAAGGTTGTTGTCCACAATTACCCCCAAGGTCTGTTGCGCAATATTTCCAATCTAACTATTATTATTTAGTTAAAACTCTTTTGTTGCGTAGTGACAAGCATAGTTCTTATAGAAAATATCTAAGTTAGTATTTATTCTATTTACCACGCTCGGAGGTACGTACAGCAGTAGTGGGCGCTTGTCTCTTAATTTTTGATCCACTTGGTCCAATTATAAAAGTATGGAATGTCACTTAGATTTTTCGACATAGTGCTAACGTGTCACGTGGATTTCTATTGATATGCACTTAAGTATAGTTCGACGACGCTCGTAGCAATTGTGTTTAAAGAGTTGTATGTCAAAAGAAGCCAATACCGTATTAAGTGGATTTGCTATAAAAGTTAATACAATAAATTAGTTCGGTATTTATAGTTTGGTTTGCCCCGACAATGTATATGATTTGTGTTTGGTGTACTCTTGAATTCTGTATTCACAGTGAATGTGTTTTATTAACAACTGTGACTCACGTTAAATTGAATTGACAGCTGAGTCTATATGGAATATTATGTCCATACATATTTGGTAGGTTGATAAACCTCTATAAAAGAACAATTATTCAAAGTTGTTTGCTTTGTCATGTTACTGTTATAATTACAGTTAGGCCTAACGTTAAGAGCAACATATTTGGGAATAACATGGCAAGACTGTAAAACCAGGTTCATTAAATTTAAATTATTGATGTCACTAGAATCCATATGATCGTAAGTTGATTACCTCCCGATCATGGCATATTATCACGGGACTATCTTTAAAATGGTCACACAAGGTTGTATTAACCTGCTGTCCTGAGGATATTAATTATTCAAAATGGTGTAAATACAAACGTAACATACTTATTGGATTTTGGGAAACCTGGTTCCGATATGCATGTGTTCGAGTTACTATTGAAATATAATTCATGTGCTTGTAAGTTTGCTTGTGGTGCGATTGCAATTTATGTGTCATGAAATCCTGTTCGAAGGTAATATGTGTGTGATGATAGTTGATAGTTGAAAGTGTCACCAAGAAAATAGGAATAAAACCTCAACGTTTTTAATTATACTTTTATTTTAAGGTATATTGAAACAATAGTTTAGTTATTACTGGGTTCAGATTATTTCAGTAGAAACAATATTAACGTGACTGGATTGAATTCCGTAACTATATGTCATATGCTTGATAAATTGGTGGATATTCTCAATCATTTACAATAGTTGAGTTTCGATTACCAACAGGTATTTCTCCGTCACAAATATCGCGCTCAATAGACCTTAGACGAAACTTGCCGCCGCCGAGATCTTGCTGAGAATCAGAGAGCCATGAGGCGTGCTTTGTTGACCTCCAATCAGTATGGAGAGCCTCATCATCACTAGTATTTTTCTGTTTTAGAGATCTTTTTAGAGACGTGTCATACAGTGCAGTGTAGTACATGTAAACAAATGGATACTATAATGTGAGGTGCATCTGTCGGCGGCATGCAAAGAATACTCATTTCTATTTGGAGATCTCATATTTGGCATAGTGAAGGTACCCTGCTTTTATATTAGCTGCGTATGCTCGTGATATTATTATTTGATATCTTCAAATGTAAAATTGATTTTGGAGTTATGAAAAATGTTTATACACTTAAGACAGCAGTTGTCAGGGATCATAATTAAAAAAACTCCAACGAACATCACTATATCACCGACAAATATTAAATATTGAGATGATCTCTTTTGCAAATTTTACCCTGTATTGTACATTATTTTTCTCATAAATTCTTGTATCACTTAAACTATAAAAATCAATCTGTTTTTATTGTCAGTCATCCACCTTAGCATAGTCAATATAAGAAAATTCCAATGTTGGCATAACAATTCGGCTCGAATTATCACTATGAGGAGAAATTTGGTTCCATTTCATTGGCTTTTTCATTCCCCAATGAATACACTTTAAAATTTACCTCATACAATGCGCTTCGTGGTATTGCTTCGACATTCCTGATCTTTTCCACCTATATAATCAACAGTACTCACAATCGCAGTTACTGTTGCTAAGTTAAATCAATCGACACATCCTATGGAATTCGTGCTTTTGTGAATGCTGCTCAAAATGAAATGAACTGAACTGCAACTTGAGAATAAGCAATTTGATTCGGTAACTACATTCTAGTCAATTTAAAAAGTAGTCACAGATTTGTGAGATTAGTTTTAGAATGTAGTAAAGTGCAGCTGAAGAGTTGTATTTTTTGCTTTACACTTAGTTTCCTTTTTAATAGTTATGTGGTTATTTTACTGTCGCCGTTAATAAAATCCATCATTCCTCATTTATATGGCGTAGTTACATTGTGTTTGGATATAAAATCAAACGCTGTTTTGCAGAAAAAAATAACGTGTAGATTAATTTAGTGCGCAGCCATATTAAGTTTTCATTTTCTCAACAAAACTTCTGCTTATTGAGTTTATTGTGTGAGACAGTATTAGCTAAATCGTGTATGTTTTGAATGTCTCAATCTCACGCAGCGCTTCGTTCTTATTTCCTCAGTAATTGACAGGGTATATTTTTGATAGGGCCCAGTGAACTGGAACCAGAATATATCGAAATTATTTATCCGTATTGAGCACAGTAATGTTGTTGCATGAATGAAGTTATGCATATAAAACAATTAAACACACAATGAGTTCATGTATCGTTGTTATACACATACAATTGCATGTGACATAGTGATTGTATGGCAGAATGCACATGGACTTTTAACGTTTTAACTTTAAGAAACTGCTTTCATGTCATATAAAAATAAACAATAGAATATTAGAAAACACAAGTTGGCAAACCAGGTTTGTATTGTTATATATCTACCCACAATCTTCATGTCGGTGTACTACTGATAATTGATTACGGTACGGTTTATGGCAATTTATTTTGCAGCTAATGTTTAATTTTTCGGAGCGATGGTCAGAAAAACTTTAAAGCACAAAGGATGACTTGTGTACTCAATTGAGAGGAAATTCATAAATATTTATCATGTAATTATTTGTCAGTCTAATGTAATAATACATATTCATCATGCAAGTTTTTTACTATGCGGGATACGTGGCAGCTTGTAAGGTAACAAACCATATAAGAGTATATCGTACACACATTCATGTATTTATAAGATCACACAAGGACGTCAAAAAACATTAGGATTGGTGAACATAACTACACTTTGTCATAAGTAACTTGGATTGAACCTAAAGCGCAAATATGGGGTTTATAGATGACAAAACATCACAGAATGAAGTCACGTATCGTTGATTCAAATTCATTATTCACTCGGGGTCAATGATGGAAATCATGCGCAGATTGGATGCAGAAATAAGAATAAATAATATTTCATTTTTGGAATATATAGTAAATTCGACCGAATTCGTGAATTATATTTACACAACCCAGGTGAGGGAGGGTCCAGAGCTCTTCTTGTGTTGGTCTTTAGTTTTTGCGATGGTATTTCTAATATATTAGGTGTCTTTAATTTTGTTGTTTTTAGATATTAGTATTTTATCGGCACAAAAGAGCTATGGCTCCTCCCGCGTACTTGCGTAACACAAACGAGGACAAAATGACGTCACTGGAGCAGGTATTCCCGATGGCTACTAAACACATTCTTTTGAAAGAAATGTACAATTAAATGTCTTGCCATGCATGTAGGATGTAGATAAAAATGACAACTGAAGTAAATATCAAGAGGTCCATAGCAAACTGATTGTAGCAGACGGTCATTTCCTGGCGTCTAGCTGTTCCACTTTCGGAGGGAAGCTCTACTACAACGACGTCATTCAGCCGACTAATTTTGTTCTCGTTCTACCTCACAAAAATGACTTTCATCACAGTTACGTAGGTTTAGCAACCTAAATCCCGCAAAAAAAGCTCCAAACAGATAATTTTTGTCATGGTTTTCGCGCTGGTGAGTATTTAATAAACATGCTATAGTTTACAACGACGAAAGACCGACAAAGGAACAGCTATGGGCTCACATCTATATACTACCTTGTATGTTTCGAGAATGCTGTTAGTAATAAAAGGCAGTGGAGTGTATTTTATTCCAATTATTATAATACCCGGAAATGGCAATAAATTGTATATGCGTGAAGTGGTACCATTGTCACCGCTTGCATTACAGTTGCTCGAAAAACATTCACAAAGAAATGATATGCAAAAACTCGCTATTTTTTAACAGCAAACGAATCATAATGATATTGTTGTTGACATCAATACAATCGTGTACGTCCGTTCGTGCACTGACCCCAAGTACTGCTTAGTTATCCTCTGATACCGATTGACCAATGAGAACGAGCCATTGCAGCGCAGGCTATTATAATTATTGATTAATGAACATAGTGTTTTATTAGCTCAAGATATCTCTATGTTCAGAACTAATTATTATCACCAAAGTTTTTCATGGTGAAAATAAACACAATCTTAATTTAGCACATGCGTGGAAAGTGCATGGGAGATTACAATCTAACGAGCGGAGGTGAATTAATGAGTTGGTAAAAATAGGATTGTGTGAAATAAGGGGCTAGTTTAACTTAAATGGTATACGATTAAAATAATTGTACTATTAAATGAGAAAAATAAAACACGTGTCCAATGAAAGCGAAACTAAGTGCATACGTAGTCTGGCAATATAAACATTTAAACATCGAACAATGCATTATGTAATCTGTAAGTAGTGACGTACTATGTGAAATAAGATATGTGTGAAAGTCTTTGCACATAACCCACGCCACGGAATCAGCGTATATACCCTCCAGGCTGTGAAGGGATGTTCTTGTTGGAATATATGATAACTATCATCTTTCTATACAATTTTGGAAGGGAACTACACACCCATAGAAAAAGACTTTGTGAAAGTAAAACTGAAAAAAAAAACACGTAAATATTGCCATCAGTATATTTTCAAGATGTTTGACTTTTAATTTAATTTTATTTACTTTATAGACACTCTGTCAAGTGCTGGGATTCCTGACCACACTGTGCTGTATAAACTCAATAATATCTTTGGTTGCCATAGCATTGGATCGCTACTCCGCCATCATACACTGTTTGTATTACGCATCAACGGAACATCGTCGCCAAGCTGTTGGGATACTTATTTGGACATGGCTGCATGCTATAGTGTGCAGCGCCCTCCCGGCGCTCGGGTGGGGGAAGTACGATTACATGCCAGCGAGATTTGCTTGTTCGGTAGACTGGACACACACACCTGGTTACACCGTATTCGTCGTTGCCTTGTGTTTCATCCTCCCATTATGTGTAATTTTGTTTTGTTATGGAAGAATATTGCGTGTTGCTAGGCAACACGCGCGACGAATCAGTAATGTTCATTTACATCTAAGTGCGAGTCGACAGAATTTACATCCAGTGATGGCCAGTCCGTCGTCTGTATTTGGAAGGGACAATGCTGCCTATGACGTAATAAGTTATGATTTTGTAGCAAATATGCCCGACGCAGACACGCTATCAATGTCCAGTAGTGGCGCTGCTACCGTCAATGAACCATCTAGAAGTTTCCGCTCTAAATCACGTGCAACCAGGCGACTGTTCTTAGTAGTGTTTGTGTTTCTTCTCTGTTGGTTGCCGTACGTTGTCTTACATCTATATCGCATGGCTACCGTGGTTACATGTAGAGACTCTTCGGCATCACCTTTTCTGGCTACCATGACAACATGGATGGCTCTTATGTCTTCTGCTCTCAACCCAACTATTTATGGTTTTGGAAACCGCAAATTTCGCTCGGCACTTCGGCGACTGTATCGTAAAGTGCGTCACAGGCACTGCGAGAGAAACCGTGTCGAAGAAATTGAGACGATAAGTCGCCGTCTCAGTGCCGTAAATATACCCATGTGGCGCTCTCGATCTAGTTCAACGGCGTCCTCACTCAACAGTGACGCAAGAACACGAACGACTCGGCTTGCTAGTTTCGGAGCTGTGTCATCTTTGAGTGCAGGTTATTTTACTGCACCCCACGATCAATCACTTCAATCACGGGCGATTCGTTCAGGTTCGCTACCCGATACGAATCGTCGACTGGAAGCAATGTCACAGTTTACAACGACGGGACATTTTTTAGATGTTCCAAGACCCGCTTACGAAGATTTACTAAATTCTGATGCTCAGTCCAAACACAAAAAAATAAGGATTGCAAAGTCATTGACAAATTTACCAGGCTGGACAGGAAATGATGAGGATGCAGCATTTTATTACGGCACGACAAGTGACAATTCCGAAAGAGTCGGTTCACCTGCTCCAAGACGGAAACGATCGCGATCAGAATCGTTTGTTAATGTTACGTATCTGAGAGTACCAAATATTGTTCATAGTAAAAAAACATGTAACTCTACCAACAATTCTCAATCATCAAGTAAACAATCTGCCCCAAAAGTGAGACACAGTTCTCCAAAATCTAACGTACCAGTAACTATAGTTACCGTACATAATCTCGACGAGGACGGCTTGAGTGAAAGTGGTTCGAATATATGAGTAGTTCTTCGTAGTCGAGTGCACGCGATATTAATAAATATTGTGAAGATTGTACTTCATTTATATAATAAATATATTGCACATGTATTATCTTGTTCAGTTCGTGTGTATCCTTATAACATCATTCGATTCAATTGGTAAAACACTCCAGTTCATTAAAGATACGTATCATTTATGTATTTAACAGTTTATACTGTTTCTGATGACTTGAATTCAAAGTCTACGGCATGCGAAAATGTTTGCATTTTTCAAGTTATTTTTTTATGATAGAGGTTTTGAAATTACCTATATTAAACAATTAGGCAACACTGAGTTAATATGTACGAGTAATTAAAAGAATAATATATGTATAATTCAACTTCCTGTATTTAGTGGAGTAGCATGTACCTATTCTAAAAGTGCTTAACCGTATCTGTTTGTAATTGTATAATGACTCCGTGTTTTCCGCAATGTACGTATTGTATGCAAAAACGTGTCGACAACACATTTGATTAACAGGAGCTGGTCCGGGAGTTACTGAGGAGTGGTCTAAAACTGTGTGCTATTACTTTCTGATAAAAGTAAGACAGTTGCTGAAGACAGTTGATGCAGACCCAAGGGATCAATAACAAATTACAGCTGTAACAAATGTGAATTATATAATTTTTATCCAAATAACACCCTTGACAAGAAAATATATGCCATATACGTACACCGACAATGTTGTTCAACTTCACTTGGTCTTCGACGATATGCTCCATGCCTAAAATAATTATTGTCAACTTCGTATTCTTTCTGGAAACATTTTTCTAAATTCAGAAAAGGGTCACGCCAGTTTCAATGCAGTCATCTGAATTTTTTTTATATATTTATTTGAACTCGATAACTCCAAAGGTATCAAAATTCTTTTCGTGAATGTCAAACAAAAGTAAACGGATACACCTTCGGTCGAATAGTTTTACACTACAAGTATCAATGAAGCAGTATATATATATTTATAAATCACCACTATCAGAATTAGTTTGTTTATGACGTCATAGCTTTACATTATCACATGATAATGCAAATCTATATTCGCAAGTAAATTTATTTCAACAAAAATTCTCAAATTTAATTACATTTATTTGAGACTGATTAGTGGTGATTTATAACAATACTCCACAGCTTCATATTGTTTTCGGAGAAGGGTCTAGATGCAATCACATTATCTTGTCATAGGCCAGTCTCATCTAATATGCCGCTGTGGAGGATTAGTTGTTTTAATGTGGCAGAACATTGCCAAAATACGTCTCTCGAATTTGTATTTCACTGGCCAGTAATATAGATCCCTATATAGAAATCTTTAAGACTGATTGTTTTCTAATCATCGCATGATGACAACTATAGATTTAATTTTTGAGACATTTACAGTAAATGCAAAAAATAACATTTAAATAAACTAATATGTTTTATTGCTGAACTGAATTGTTTCAGCGATGCCTAAAACATATTTAAAAAAATTACACAGTTACTCAATTATCAATTACAGTGCCCGGGGTAAGAGATGTATGAACATATGTAAATGAGGAATACATTTGTATATATATATATATATATATAAATCAATCAATCATCGCAATTCTGAGAAATGATATTCTGATTATATATATCTCAGAATTGCGAAAATGTACATGTTATTTGCACGACTTTGCTCATCACGTTGCAAATCCTTGGGCTAAGCACAGTCTGTAGGCAAAGTTCCTTCCAAAAATGTGCCATTCCTCCGTTAAGAAAAATAAATACCATATCTGAACGATGCCCGGGTTGTCACAAACTACATGTACATCCAGAACGAAAATTGAGACTTGTTGAAGAGTTGTCATGGTGTTAAGTGCACAATCGGAGTTGAAACGTGATTAGTAGCGAAATGAGAAAGCCGCCAGACTGGAAGGAGATACAAAATAATGAAGGAGTATCAAATTGGATAGCAATATAGATTGAATCAGTGAGAGGTAATACGCCAAAGCAAACTGAATTAAAATATCAGGGTGAACTGTTCAAGTCTCTGTCGACTTGGTTACTATTACATTGATTGTATTTCCCGGGCATGTGCGTCACTTCTTGTTGCATACGGCATTTAATGGGCACGCTGATCAGCATCTCCTCGGTAGCGACCGACAGACCTTCGAATTAATTTGGGGAACTATCTATATACAACCACAGTCCATCAACACCGGTGTGGAGGGACTGTGATACACCAGTACTTTGTGCCAAGAGTTTTGACCCGCCAGTTTTCAAGGGAATCCAGCCTCAAGAAGTGACAGATAAAATCTTAATACCTCCGCAACTAAGTTGCGTTTTTGCCGGCGGTCGATGGTTCGTCTGTCCATCTGTCAGCTAAACTTGCAAATAGAATCTCTTGTTTAATTTTGTTTTTTTCAATAAAGTAAAATATCGTGTGTAGATGGGGAAAGCCGAGTCATGCTAAACTGTAATTGTGACATGGTATTTTGCATCCAAAATGGCATTTTTATACAAATACACAACGATAAATATTATGCGTATATGTATATCATCTTGATTCTAAATAGTAAGAAAACGATTGGAGAAATGCTCGTCGTATCTTACAATGGGGCATGCCTATATTTTATATAAATGTCAGTTTATTCCATAATTTACAAAAAATATGAAAGATCTCGCAACTATTTTAATTCCCAGGAAGATTTCTCCTGAACGCAGATATTCTTCGCACTTGTGGTGTATCCAAGTAAAACAGGTCGATACTATTAGACTTTTAAATAAATTCCAATAAAATTATTTGCTAATGTTTTGGCGAGAAAACGGCCTGGAATGAATTTTCCGATTTGTTTATTTACATCGATTTTTTTTATGTTTTATCTATTTTCGTTTTAATCCGATACGGCCTACATATTTATATTATGTTCCACTCCAGTAGTAAACAACGCTACAATCTATTCATATATACCATATTAACCGCGGCTATAAACTCCATGATAAAGATTTAAAATAATTCCGATCCTATTATTCGCTTAAAATATATGCACAGTCCCTCGAGAACTGTGGTACATGCATCTGAACAATTTAACGAGCACCACCACTAGCTAGTATGCAATTAGGCTTGACGTCGGGTCGCTCATTACACAAGTCTTATGTACGTATCGTGTTTAACTGAACCAATAAATACTCGCGTCACGTTTATGTCTAGGGAATAACCAAGTGAGGCCAGGACACTCTAAAGTATTTCTACAACCACCCAACGAATTTTTGGACATCTATATATATTTTTAATTTGCAAAACTTAAAACTCTGCCAAGTTGAAATTGGGTGAAGCAGGCGATACGACGAGCGATAAATAAGTGCATCGGATGAGCCAGGTAATGTACTTTTGGGCATTTTTACTGGTTCTAGAACCTACCGACAACGTTAACTGTAAAGTACTCATTTTTTACCCAAGTCGCTTCAGTGAAAATAGCCACAATGTCTTCAGCAAAAATAAAGCATTTTGAAATAAAGGGAGTTGATTACGTGTAGCTTCGATTACTTCAATCTGATTTTAAGTTTGCAAGCACAAGCTCGCTACCAAATAAAAGCATTCCATGAACGTTTATACGATTCATTGAAAATGTGTGTGGGAAAAAATTAAGTATGGATTTAGCATTATCTGAAAACAAGTGCTTCAAAGTTACATTTATTTCATTAAACTGTATATAAATAAATTAGATTTGAAATTAATATATACACGGAATTTGAGAAACCTATGAAATGGATATAAATTGATATAGTAACGAAGAAAAAATCGGATACAAGGCCAATTTCGAAAGTGCGATTTTGCCGGTACGCGATGGCTCGCCTAACACTTTCGGCTCTACATCTTGCCAGAATTCCGATTTAGTGCATTCGAATTCCGTGTTGCTGTAAGTTTCGTCTTCTTCTAAACAGTCACAGGTCAGAGTATCTTTCACATAGAGGCTACGTTTGGGACATCCGGCAAACGCGAACGAAGCATGGTGTGCTGTAGACAAGAAAAAATAGAAATTGTCATTGCTGATACGAGACCACTTAGTCTTGACATAGATGAATAGTTTTGCTACAATATCAATTTAACGACAGTTTCCATTATGTAGTTGGTGTGCATTACTTCATTTTTGAACATTTAGCAATACAACTGTGCTGTCCAACATAGCAAGGAAATTCGAAATAAAGCGACAGACACTGAATGAAACGTACCGGTTGGCTCGTCTGCATAGTCTATCGCATCTCTTCTATCGCGACCATCTAAGAGTTCAGCACGTCGAGCTAGGGCGCCAGCTGAAAGTCGATGCCCGGAGTACACGGCGCTGTTGACTACGACCATTCCTTTATTTCTGAAGTCTTCGTTTACCATCTTTATGGCTGCCCTTTTCTTTCTTTTTCTTTTTCTTAGTTTCTCTTCGAGTTTGAAAACTGTTGTAATAGTGTATTCTGATCTCTCCTGTGCGAGGGCGGCGTTCGTCCAGTCGATGTTGTACAGTTCATTAGTTGTGTCATAAGAATAGCTGTCCAGCATTTGCTGGGTCGAGCTGTTGCCTGTTGGAACCCAGTTGTCTTCAGCCAAGTGACTCGTGGAATAAATCTGATCATTTCCATCACTATCGAGAGCTACGAATCTGAAATCGTCGCTTCGATACGCAATGTATCGATTTCCTGTTTCCACATCGAGGCAACCCTGTAGAGATACCAGAACAAACATTTAGTTTATATTCTGTAACGTAGACATGACGTGTATAAAAGTTTTCGAAAAAAAAATATCTAGTGTACGCTTACACCCAATAAATTTCTAGTGTCATCCCGGCACACCATGAACAGGGTCAACTCTAAATTGAAAACGTCTCTGAAGAATTCAGGCAACATTCTGAAAAATAAATAAAAGATTGGATGAGCTACACGTAGTAAAATATTTACGTGCATCAGACGTCTGTCGTGGTGAATTTGAAATTAGCTTTGTAATAGGATATCTAACACTTACTGTATCTTCATGTTAACGCTTTCCAGATGATTGACTCCCCGATTGCCTGCCCTCACACCACCTCTGAGATCGTTATTGTTGGCTCCAGTAATACTGAGTAAATACAAACTGGGATAGTCTTTATCTGCATCCCGTACTACAACCACAGTCTGTAAGAGAAATTAGCATTCCGTTGAGCAAATACGCGTCTGCATAGAGAGATGCGATTATGAGATGTCTAGGATAGAAAATAGAGTAGTTTCAAGTGTTAAGGTGGCAGCCTTCGACTTTATCGCGGGAAGACTCATTCTGGAAGAATCTGCTAATTCAGAAAAATCTGAAGAAAAGGCATTATTCTTTGAATTTGGGAAACTCATTTTTATTGACCGACACAACCATTGACACATGCAATACATCTATAAGCAAAGATTACGCCATTGGTCAGTTAGAAAAAAAAACATAAATAAATTACAAACATCGATAATTAAATATTAGGACCGTCACTTGACTGCGCATAAAGTACTCCCTTTCCCTGCACACTAAGGGTAGTTTATTCACAGTGATTAAGACTTGGCGTTTACAGTTGATCACGAAGTACAACGATCGAGGCCCAGTTTTAATGACCGACTTGTAGCTGAATTTCATGGCGCGGTAGGGGAGGGGCAACTCACCTGGATTGTAACGTCCAACGTAATTTCAAAAAGAGAGGAAGATGTCAACACACAACTACTCGGTGGGTCGGTTGTAGTTGAGCTACACTCTAATTGCTCAAATTGGAATTTGAACACTCCTACAATTAAAAGATCAAAAAAAAAGTCGTAATGTTAAGCAAAGCTGCAGCAAATTTTTTATACAAACTGCCTAATGACAATCTTATTGAACACACTGACACCATCGAGTATTTGTACGAGTTTTTGAGAATTGATAGCAGAAGTATATTCCCATTACAACCTTGGCACTGATTTCTGTTCGATATTATTTCATGGCGCGGTTTAGAGATTGCTAGCGAGACAAATCGCATTGTCCCGTTTAGCAGTAGACGCTAACAACTTACCAGTTGCATCAATTGGTACATCACTTTCTACAACGGTATCATCAACATTTAAAACTACGACAAAGTTCCACGTTTGTGTACATTCACTGGAATAGAACAGAGTTTTACTACAGAGAGGGGCACACACCAGATGGTACATTGAGGAAAATGGTCAAGTCCAAAATAGAAATTCTTTGAAAATACGAGGTTACATCGATATTAAAATAAAAAGGACACTGGTTTGGATTCGACTTTTAAATCTATCTTAACACTTACTTAGGCGAGACAAAGACGCACTGCTTTGGACCCGCCGTGTAAACGATTTCGTCACCAGTGTCATTGCTAAATGAATTACCAGAGTTCTCGGGCGTGTACTCTTGAGTGTCGGCTTTAAATTGCAGGGCAAATCCGTCAACGGCGTTTGACTGAATGACCGTCTTGAACTGTATTTCTATCGTTGCTTTATTAGTGAGTGGTTCGCCATTGGCATCAAAATATGGAGATATTATGACGTAGTCTATTATTGGTTTCACCAACGGAGAGGAACTGATTACGAAGTTTGCAATGGCGATTCGGGATAACCTGTATATTAGCGTGATACTGGAAGAAACTCTTGCCATTCCCTTACTGGCATCTGCGTTATCGACTGGGCGCACGTTAGTCACGTACATAGTAGTGTGATATTCTATGGTGTCTGTTGTATTCATATAGGTCCAGATGTTAGTCCCAGTTGTATCGGTGCAGTTGAAAAAGTAACCAAGATGTCCTGCAGAGAGCAAAGGATGGAAACGTCATACGAATTAAAAACATGATGGCACAGTGATAATAGATGGGCGGTAATTATGACCATGTGTCAAGACGTGATCCGACGAAAGAAAACTCGTAACATAATTTACTTTATAAACCCCTGTAACCGCACGCTAAAGTTGTTTTTTTACTTCGAAAAAAGAAACTTCGAGAATGTAATGCACGACGATGATTCGGCGGCACTCATTGTTCGCACTTGTCTTAACACGTGTGCAATAGCATGGTTGGCAATTCCATTTAACGATCACGTCTAATTACCGAAACTACTTGTAACGTACGTACAACCCCATACAAGTGTCGTATTTTAAATCCATGCATTAGTTATTAATGCCGGCGGGGCCCACCAATAGAAATAGGAAATAATTACTCGCCTTGATATCGCATAGTGTAGTCTCTTCTGTCAACACTATTACCGTACTGGTCGTTAGTATTGTAGCTCTGGCCCCTCACATAATTCGTGAACAGCCGTTTTCCGTCGGACTTTGTGGCCGACCTCAGCGAGACGTTTCTAGTTTCGAAGTTACCGGCATCGGAGAAGTAGTAGGCTGGCCCGAAGGATGAAAATCCGCCATCTGCCAGAATGTTTGAACACTCGCCAGTGTTGTCAGAGGTTATGTCGCCCGTATCGGGATCTACCGGCTGGTTATTTTCGTCAAAGTCGTAAGGTTGAAAGTCTACCACCCAGAGTTCCGAGGTTCCAATAGTGTCCTGTAGATATAAAAAATAAGCTCAGTGCGATAGGATTATAGTAACAAAATATTGGTAAATGTGCGAAAATGGACAAGAGTCTGTAGGAACCCACAACGAACCTCAACTCTACCAATCCCAGTTGTAAATACCCCCCTTCGGAATAGGCAGTTATCTGGAGGCGCATATACAATGACAACATAATTTCCGACCCCCACCATTCGAGCAAAATCCCCCAGTGACGCACAACTTACCTCGGCTATGACTTCAAGGGTCAAAAGCTGATTATCAATATTGAATTCTTCCACGTAGATTTGACCCATGTTTCGAAACAGTACGTCCTTTATTTTGTCATCTACAACCTCGCCCAACTGGCTTTGGCCACGAGAAGATTGCAAACGAACAAGAACCAGCATCAACGCAACATAGAACGGCCCGTACATCATCATGGTTCACTACAGAACAACAACTAAAATACATCACAAGAAAGCGAACTGGCAACGAAATGGACTTGAATTGAATTGGCTGTCTATTTATAGCCGCCGTTGTGGCCAGGTGGCCAAAAGCCGTGCTACATCAGTAAGCTGTGATTGAACAAAGCCAGTTTAACATATCTGTGATTGGACAAAGCTGTGATTGTACAAAGCCAGCTAACATATCTATAAACTGATATTTTGGTAGCAATGCGACATCAAACATACAACCTGGCACAGATTTTGTGGAATCGTTACCAACATCTAGACGTATTTCAGTGCAGTACACCCATTCACGCCAAGGCAAATTACTATTCACAATTATATTGCAGTTGTTTGATAGGCTGCCTAATACATCTGCTGAATGTTCGTATTAATCTTGTCTCACACGAGACCAAACTTCACTAATTCATATCAACATGCATCGTGCCGGGATGGAAGTATATCCTAGTTTCTCAGACGTTTCAAAAAATGAACTTAGATTCACGGTTTACAATTTGGGATAAGTGAACAACGCAAAAAATCTCAAATTTGTTCAATACTGTGAAACTATTTATTTTTACTATTTAGATGTTTGAGTCTGTTCACTGTGTTTTAAGTTCACGAACTTGGCAGAGAAACAATAAGTTACTAGTATATTTCTATTTTACATATTTATGTGGATTTAGTTAGCTGGATTTTACTTATCAGCGAAAATAGCGATATTGAAACCCAGTGATTATTAACGCCTTTACAAGTATCATTGAGCTGATAAAACAATTATAAATGGTAAGCAAATGAATTGAAGTCAATTTAATGACATTTATGTCTTGGCATCATTAGGTTTAGGGTTTGGCATGTCTGTGGGTTGATATACTGTATTACCTATTTAGTTAGTGCTAATGCCAACCCCTCGGTAAATAAAAAATAACTTAAGATAGAGTTCAATTTCATCGCATCGTTCTAGTAAATTAAAATTAACTTAAATTAAAGTTGAATTTCATGTCTGAGCATCGTTCTAGTGAATCACCAGGAAGTCAGAAATTGCAATTTACATGTGGGAGGTTCAATTTATTTAATTTAATTTAAACCGCGTTGTCCGTCACAGCAATGGCGCCCTCTTGTGATGATTGCTGGGAATACATGTATAGCCCACATTTACTTCCGGGTTGTCCGAACAAGACGATGAATTTCTACCACACCGCATCGGCATTTATATTTCTTTTCTTAATTGCGTATCTGCTGTTTGTTGTTCTTTGCTGGTTGGGCATCTTATAGGTCATATTTGTCGTCTGTCACGCAACAGCCAAACCTAAGAGGGTTAATTAACGAGATAACTCGTGCCTGCAAGCAACCATGGTCAACTCAAACACTGTAACGCCACCTCCATGTGAAGATCTGTTTGGCGCAGGCTTAGCGCCTTGACAACGTAAACAAGCGGGTATGTCGTTATTTACAGTCGAGAATTGCGTTACATTGTCACATAATACGTTGTTGTCACACTATCATAAACTCATTATAGACGATTATGTAAAACCATGGAGGTAGAAAATTTCTTTTCTCTTTTATGGTAAAACCTAGAAATGGGGGGGGGGGGGGTCTCTTTTTTTTAATGTCAATGAATCATGTCTGATTGTACCATTAAACATTATACAAATGTTCACCCCAACAGAGGTGGAGATACAGTTCGCAACCCGAAGAGCATATTGTCAACTGAGGCGAAGCTGAAGTTTGAGGGTCACAAAAACTGTATGTCTACTGCTGCTGGGGAAACATTTATATTAATTATTTGGTAATTGTGGTGCTCGTGGCAATCTTCCAGGGTAGCCTTGTGGAGCTGAATGCGTATGCATGAGAGTTTAAAGAGCAGTGATGGAAATTTACCGAGTTATATTATTGACAGCTTTTTTACCTTCATAGTTTTATGAACCTAATTTCAGCAGCTTTAGCCTAACAAAGTGGAGAATGGGTAACCATGCAGTGGCATGACTGTCAGATGCCCAGGTAATCTTAAGTTTCTTAGTTTATAGCTTCAAATTTTCTGCTTGAATATACTTAGCATGACCTAATAAAATTATGATGAACAAAATGACAAAATTGTAATTGAAGATTAAAAAAAATAAAATTTCAGTGGTCATCTATTTACATACTTTATTTGTATAATTTTTTAATTGCAGACAAAATGGTTTATTCAGAGGAGGGACAATAAAGACACCACCAGTGATAGTAGTTATAGACACAAACAGACGATCTCAGTATGGGCTGAATATTTGTCAAGCATATGGGACATAATGGAAAGTAGTGGTGATATACCAGAACAAAGTGAAATAAATGATTCTATTTAATCAGAGGTTATGGACAAATCAGTAGTCAGATATTCTGAAACTTGTGCTACATGAATATGCTACATTGCTGTCATGTGAAGATCTTGGTTGGAAAATAACACCGTCAATTGGCCTGGACTGAAACATTCATAGCAATATCTCTGTTTTTGTATATAGTAAATATAGTAGTTCACTATCATTAAAAACAAAGAAACATTTGTTTACTGGAAAAGAATGATGCGTTTTGGAACATTTTTCCCCATTCTCCAATTTCCCATGACAGCCATACATGTAGGTAGCCCTCAAAACACTACATATCATTTTTTTTAGTTTAGGTCACTGAAAACAAATTTTGAGATAGGAAGGGAGGTTTCTGCTATAGAAAACAATTGTAAACTACTTTTTGATCAAGTTGTTTTGTGGAAAAACTGTGACCAAATATTTTTATTTTGTTGCCCTCAGCGACCGACAAAAAAATATGAAATATCAGGTCACGCTTTTTTTTTTTTTTAATAGATCCAAATATTAAAAACTCACCATTTTAAGCAGTAAAAAAAGTGTTTGATAAAGCTGGACCTGGACCGTTGTTTGATCCCTCGGGGGGGGGGGGGGGGGAAAGTGGTGACTTTGAACCTCAGGTTGATTTGTATTTAAATACAAAAGACTGAAAAAAAAACACTTTGATTTTTGTGTTTAATATCTAGCATGCATTCTAGCATTAATTCCCATATACCTTGGCTATTTACGATACCCTTAGTTTTCATGAGTTTAAAAAAAAAATCTGGCCGACCGACCGACCCAATTTTTTCAATTTTTCGACTTGAGGGCAACATAAGTTTTTTTTTTGGCCTAACAGTAAACCCAACCCGACTTGCTGGATTTCAAAGATTTTTGAGTTGATGTTTTTTTAATGGTAGACAACTACCTTAAGATAGAGATGCAGGTTCGTGGGCACTTGGGAGTGAAATTTTTTTTTTTGGCTTTTTATTATCCAAACAGTCTTGGCTATAGACTGTTGAAATTTTGTAAAATTGTGAAAGTGGAACATACTCAAAAAAACGATTTTAAAATATAGATAACAGGTGCAAACATTCTCTCTTTTGAATGCTTAGCAAGATTTAGCAAGGCTGTACATAAATAATAAAAAAGAAACATGGTGAAAAAAGAAATGACGGGATCTCCATATTATGCACTATATTTAACTTTTAACAAAACGATAATACATTTAAATTTGGAACTGTTACAGCCATTTTAATAATGAGCATTAGCAAACTTCTTACTGAGTGAATTGTTATGCAAATTAGCAATTATCTTAGCTACTTTTTTGTGCACATTCCAGAACTTTAAAAAAAATAGCTCCTAGACGCTTTAACTTTTTGTTTTGAAATTTGCACAAATGATTGACAATGTGTTTATCTTCAAAACGCCGTCGGGGCATTGTTTTTGGTTGAACAATGTTACAACAATCGTACTGACAACTAGCCTGGGTGTTAATTTATGCATAAACTTGAAGTAGTGAAATTTGAGCAGCTGCCCTGCAAAATTGACAACTGGTAGACAGTTTCCAAAACGACACTTTCTTTATAGTAAATAGATGTAATTTTGACAGGAAACAGAAGCATGGTTTAGAAGCTATTTTTTTTTAAATCACTTTTGACCAAAAAAGCACATTTTTGTGCATAATTTAAACTACAGTGTCCATAAAAAAAATACTAACAAAATTTTAAAATTCATACAATAAGCATTCCGAAAATATATAGTTTTTTGGACAAGGGAGGTCATCTTGGTTTCCTAATTAACTAATTAAAATACCTGTCAAGTAAACTGTATCTCTACCTTAAGACTTTTTAAAAGTTACCCAAAAAGCAAGCTTTCATCTATTCCATTCATGTTCCAATGATGAAGGCCGAAACAAGGACTTATGATCTTTTGCGTTTTGATTCAAATTGGACAACTGGCGGACATTTCATGGGTTTGCACATCTGGAGTCATTTTTCATGCAAGACATATGCATATCAAGTTTATTTGAAATCTATTATTGACCAATTGGCTAAATTTAAAATGACCAAAAATCTCAATCAGTCCTATGCATTTCATATATGTTCATAATTTATATAAATGATGACTTCTTGAAAGCTAGTAGACAAATAAGATTTGGTATGTAGCTATCGTGGATAAAACTTTATCAAATTTATTCATTTCATGATAATCCAATGATTCTCTTATTTTCAGCAAATATTTTTGTACGGTAATTTGTGATCAAGAATAATATTTGTCACTTCTTATAAATTGTTACCTGTACAAATGACTGACCAGATTGCTCTGATATGTAGATTGGTTAAAGCTTCATCAGATTCTGTGACAGTCTGATTTGTTTTCCTATTTTTTAACAAATTTTTCATTTTTGTTCAAAAATAATGTTTTTGAGTTCTTGAAAAGTGACGTGGCAGATTGATTTTATATTTTGTATATTTTTGATTGAACTACTGATTTTTTATTATATTTCGCAATTTGTTATTTATATTTCTGGTAAGAAAACAGGGCTATTTCAACTTGTTGGACATGCATTGACAGATTTTCTGCAGATTTCGTATGCTCATGGAACATGCATTTTAGCTGATGCACATCATATTTTTTTCATGTTTCGATTCAAAATTTCCAACTGTTGACGATATTCGTTTTTGTTTATCTAAATACTGGTATTTCAGATATGTTCAGAGTACACCTCAAACTGTGTACATCTATAGCATGACATAAATATGCAAATAC